GCACTCACACCATCACACAACACCACTGCACTCACACCATCACACAACACCACTGCACTCACACCATCACACAACACCACTGCACTCACACCACCCACACCATCACACACACCACTGCACTCACACCACCACCCACACCATCACACACACCACTACACTCACACCATCACACAACACCACTGCACTCACACCATCACACAACACCACTGCACTCATACCACCACCCACACCATCACACACACCACTGCACTCACACCACCACACAACACCACTGCACTCACACCACCACCCACACCATCACACAACACCACTGCCGTCACGTCACCCCCGTCATTTCTCGACTTGCCATTTTATTCTTCCTCTGGGCAATCAAGGCACTGTGACCTTTTCAAAGTTGGTAATGACCCCGATTATCAGTGTTCAGTAACAAGGCCGCACGGTGGAGAAGGAGAGCCCAGGATACCACGCTCAGGGAGCCCCGCCCTTCTCCCTGACCACCTGTAACAAATAGCAACCAAAGTGTAGCTGATCATTGTCTTTAAGGTTCTGGCGTTTAGGATTAAAATAAATGTGATGGGTGACGGGAGGCGTCTGGCAGCTCTCTGTGGTTCCCAACAGTCCATCTTGCTTTATGTATGTTCCCACCACATTGTTCCTTCAGTGACAAACTGCCCATCAATGAGACACAGAACTGTACAGAGGGCCATAGGTCTGTTTTCTTTTTCATTTTTGTGGGTCATGGGGCTTGAACTCAGGGCCTGGGTGCTGACCCTGAGCTCTTTTTGCTCAAGGCTAATGCTTTAGCACGTTGAACCGCAGCACCACTTCCGGTTTTCTAGTGGTTAGTTGGTTTCATGGACTTTCTTTCTTCTTGCCCAGGCTGGCTTTGAGCTGCGATCCTCCAATCTCAGCCTCCTCAGTCTCTCTGAGGACTCCTGTGAGCTGCCGCCTGCCATCTGCAGCCCCAAGGGCTGGCTGGGGCTGGAAAGCCAGTGGGTTTCTCCTCCCTGACTTACGTTCTATTTTGACCCTGGGTGGAGCGGATGATGCCACCCCATTGAGGAGAATGGGGAGTTTTATGTTCCTTAATCCCCGGATTCAAAATCCAATCCCTTCTGGAAACTTCCTTCCAGACACACTCAAAAATGGTGGGTTTCTAGCTATCTGGGCAACGCTTAGCCTAGCCAAGTTAATATATAAAATTAGGCATCCATCAGCGGTATAATAACGCCCTTCCTTTTTCCCTCCCCTCCCCTCCTTCCCGCCTCCCTCCATCCCCGTAGATTGAAGCCCCAGGCCCTGTGAGTTAAAGGTTCTGTGGGTTCTTGGCTGTGACAGTGGTTTGTCACTGTTCCTGCCTGTTCTTTTCTTTTTTGGTCGTGGGGCTTGAACTCTGGGCCTGGGCGCTGTCCCTCAGCTCTTCAGCTCAAGGCGAGCGCTCTACCACTTGAGCCACAGCGCCACTTCCAGCTTTTTCTGCTTATGTGGTGCTGAGGAGTGGAACCCAGGGCCTCATGCAAGGCAAGCGCTCTACCACGGAGCCACCTTCCCAGCCCTCCTGCCTTTAGCTTAACTGTATGAAGGCATCACTTACATAGGAAAGAATGTGCTTATTCTAGACCGAGGGTTCTGTGGGCTCACCTCCATGTGACCATGGCCACAATCAAGACCCAGCGTATTCCTGGGGCTTCAGAGAATTTCCTCACGCACCCAGACCCCATCCCTGGCGCGCAGACCCTCCCCCAGACATCCCCAGCCGCCATCTTCAAAACCACAGTGCAGCCTTGGCAGGATGCCACCAGTGCCCGCCTCTAACCACCCCCTCGGTCCTGTGCCTCCAGGTGAGTCTCGGGAAGCTCTTGAAGCAGCAAGAGAAGATGATCCGGGACATGGAGATGGCCGTGGCCCGCAGGGAGGCCATCGTGGTCCAGGCCGAGGGCCAGAGCAAGACCAAGAAGGTGCTCACCCGGTCTGACTTCCACCACAAGCAGGTGGAGCTGCGGCGGAAGATCCGGGAGGTGTACAAGGTGGGTGGCAACGCAGACGGGGCAAAGGGAAGGGTCCTTATTCCAGAAAGGTGTTCCCGCTCGGCTCATGTCCGTCATTGGAGCTGGTGTCAGCAGCCAGCCTGAGTCCATCCCGCCTGATCAGGCTGCCCGTGGGGGAGGACACGGCTGTGTGGAGAAGCCGCCGGCCTGCCCAGCTCTCAGGACGCCTGAAGGAGCCCAGAACCCTAGCCAGCGAACTCAGGATGACAGCCCCTGGGCTGTGGTGGGCTCTGGCGCTGCCTTCCTGTCCCTCCTCGCTCACCTTCTCTGCTTCTCCCGCCGTGCTGGCTGGGGAGTGGTGGGCTTTGGGGGGAGCCAGCTCTGCCGCCGGGCAGCCCTCACTGCGCAGTGCATGTGAAGGGACCCAGGACCGCTCTAGGCAGCCAGGCAGAGGTGGGTGCCCTCCATGTCCCCTGCTGTGGCACCGGCGTAGGCTGTATCCGGGACTCATCTGGGTTGGGAGGCATCCACACAGGGAAGAGTGAGCTGTGCCAGGGAGGGGCAGGAGTCCTCCAAGTGGAGGCTGGGGGCAGGCGGGTGTGTGGTAAGGCAGGCTCATGCCAGGGGGGCCCCCTAGCCCCCAGAAGGAGATGAGACTCCAGCCAGTGCTTCCTGAGCCCACTCCCCCAGGCCGCCAAGGGCCAACCCCCCCCCCCATCCCCAGCCTGTGTTTCCTGTCTGCCTCTGGGGAGGGACTGTGAAGCAAGGCGGTGGCTGGGCCGGGCGCACAGGACCAGGCTGGAGCCCACCTCACTGACAAGGCCAGAGGCCGACCCGGGCCAGACATGCCCCCCCCCCAGGCATATAATAATCCCAGCACCCAGGGAGCCACACCAGGAGGATAACCAGTCCCAGGCCAGCCAGGTGATGGAACAAGACCCTCTAGAGGAAATCCCACGTAGAGAAAGGTCAGGCCAACTGAACTACCTGTGTGGAAGTTGCAGGAAGCTTCTAGACAAGTGGCAGATTGGCTTTCTCGGTCCTTTGCTGCATCGTCCCTGTGACATCCATTTTCCTGCTGCGGCTCCTTGTCCCCAGTCCACCCACTCCTCTCACCTAGACACGCCCTTGTTCCCTGCCCTCCTCACCCCACACCACTCTCCAGGCAGCGGCCACCCCCAGCTCAGCCTCCGCCATGTACCAGCCAGGCGCCAGGCTGCCCTGAAGATCCCTATGGTCAGGCCCAGAGCACCACCCTCAACATCCAGGGCCCACACATACCAGCCACCAACCGCAGCCGCCCTCTCCTGGGGCTGCTCCTCCTCCTCATCCCCCCGCATGGCGCCCAGCCTTGCCCTGCTGCCGACGCGGCACCAGGGCCTTGTCCTGGGACTCTGTGGACGAGCCTCCTGCTGCCGGCCACCCCACTCCCCCGTCCCTCATGTGCCCCCCAAGGCCTGGGCACTGCCCGGATGCCTGTATGCTTCCCAGGCCTCGTGCTCTTGCACAAAGACCTCGAGACCCCCGCACTGCTCAGCCCTGGCATGTTGGGGCGCTCCTCTCTCCAGACGTAGGTTTCTGTTCAGGGTTCAGAGGCTCCGGGAGCGTCCTTAGCCAGAGCTGCCTCCTTGGGCCCAGGGTGCCAGAGCCCAGCAGGTCCCGTTCATCTCCCAGGCCACGGAGGAGTCCTCTAAGACCATCTCGGAACTGGAAGCATCCCAAAAACTCCTGAGCAGCACCCTGGCGGAGAAACAGAAGGTGCTGGTGGCCATAGAGAGAGAGTCCGACAAGATCGATGCTGACCTGGAGCACCTCACAGCCCTTAAGCGACAGGTAAGGGTCCCAGGAGGCCAGCAGGGCTGAAGCGTCCACCCAGAGGGGCGTGCCATGTGCGGGGGACACGTACATGCGTGCATGCCCGCACACCCTGTGTGTGCATGTGTGTGTGTCCGTGTGCGTTGTATAAACATGCTAAGAACCACACAAGAGTCACAACAACAGACACCAAGAATTGTCTCAGTGCAGAAAAGGTGTCCCATCAGCCAAAAATGCAGCCAGCAAGCACACAGCAGGCAGTCTGCTCCGAAACTTATCCCTAACACAGCAGCCCCCACCCACCCCTCTGCTCAGATTGGTTCAGCTTCACAGTCTGCTCGAGACTGGCTAGTTTGAGTAGGGTAAAATGTATTTACATAAGGAATTTTAAAATAAGATTAAGGGCCTGGGAAGGTGGCTTAGTGGTAGCATACTTGCCTAGCATGCAGGAAGTCCTAGGTTCCATTCCTCAGTACCACATACATAGAAAAAATCCTGAAGTGACACTGTGGCTCAAGTGGTAGAATGCTAGCCTTGAGCCAAAGAAGCTCAGAGACCATGCCCAGGCCCTGAGTTCAAATCCCATGACAGGCAAAAACCAGCAGGAAGCAGTGGTGTGGCTCAAGTAGTGGGGTGCTTGTCTTGAGCAAAAGAAGCTCAGAGGGCTGGGAAGGTGGCTCAGTGGTAGAGCGCTTGCCTTGCATGACTGAGGCCCTGGGTTCGATTCCTCAGCACCACATAAGAAAAAAGCTGGAAGTGGCACTGTGGCGCAAGTGGTAGAGTGCTAGCCTTGAGCTGAAGAGCTGAGGGACAGCGCCCAGGCCCAGAGTTCAGGCCCCATGACCGGACCAAAAAAAAAAAAAAAGAAGCTCAGAGACAGAGCTCAGGCCAAAGTTCAAGTCCTGAGACCTGGGGGAAAAGTCTGGGCTGGAAAGTCTGAGATTCTGATCTCCAATTAACCACCAGAAAACCAGAAGTGGAACTTTGACTGAAACTGGTAGAATACTAGTCTTCAGCAAGCCCCAAGACCAACAAAAATAAATAAGATTAACTATTCAGTAGTAATCTCAAAATATGTCAACTGATATTTCTAGAACTGAGGCGTGTCTAAATTCCATCTGGAAAAGAAAGTATAAGACAAAACCTTATGTTTTAAAAACCCTCCCTTAGCCCAAAGCAGTTCCTCTTGTCCTTAACAAGAGTCTAGCCACAGGGCCAGAACAGGAACTTTTAAGCAACTCACTTTGATAGAAAAGCCGGTTTTTCTCACACTGTGTGTCCCAGCTGCAGGCCTTCCCGGGGCCACTGGAACTCAGGCTGCTGGTCAGGGTTCCGGCTCCTCCCATGGTCCGTTTACTCACCCCACTGCTGGGTGCCAGGGCCACAGAAGAGAATGAGAGGACAAAAGGTCCCTGCCCTCCCAGGGGTCACCTCTAGAGTTCAGAGAAAAGTGTGTTAAGATGGTGATGGATGTTTTTGCGGGGGGAGGGTATGGTCGCAGGGGGAGGGTAATGTCATGGGGCTTAAACTCTGGGGCCGGGCGCTGTCCCTCAGCTCTTCAGCTCAAGGCGAGCGCTCTACCACTTGAGCCACAGCGCCACTTCAGGCTTTTTTCTTTTTGCTTATGTGGTGCTGAGGAATCGAACCCAGGGCCTCATGCATGCAAGGCAAGCGCTCTACCACCGAGCCACCTTCCCAGCCCCAGTGATGGATTTCTTTGAAGAAAAAAGAGGAGAGGTGCTGAGCACGGTGCCTCACACTGTGATCCTAGCTACTTGGGGACAGGGGGAGGTGTCTGTTCAAGGTAGCCCTGCCCCCTCCTTTACTGGTCCTGGGGCTTGAACTCAAGGCCTGAGCCCTGTCTGGGAGGTTCTTTTGCTAGAGGCTAACACTCTACCACTTGAGCCACAACACCACCTCCAGCCTCTTCTGAGTAGTTCATTGGAGATAAGAGGCTCTTGGACTTTCCTGCCTAGGCTGGCTTTGAACTGTGATCCTCAGATCGCAGCCTCCTGAGTAGCTAGGATGACAGGTGTGAGGCACTGGCCCCTGCTGTGGGTTAAAAGATGGGGGTCAAAGGTGACTTTGAAGTTTCAGCCTGGTCAGTGGACCAGGGGTGTCTCTGGTATGTGGCCAAGATGCCCCCACCTCCTGCCCTCCGGCGTCCTCCAGCGATGCTCTGCCATGGGTATGAGTTGGGGGCGGCGTCCTGGTTTGCACGGCCTGACTTGGGGTCTCGTTTACACCCAGAACCTCTCGGAGATTGTGCTTCTGCAAACACGCCACAAGCACCTGCAGGACGTGATGGACGGAAAGTACGTGTTCCTTTTCCGCTCTGCCAAGTCCCTGCTTATGGAAGAGAAGCGCCTTCAGGACCGGCTGGCCCAGCTGGGCTCCATCCTCAGCCAGGTGCAGCAGGAGTATCCCCAGTTCCAGGAGACCCTGCACAAGGTCAGCCGGAAAATCGCCAGCAAGCTCCAGACCACTCAGCCCTAGCGAGCGCTGGGCCATCTCCCGCTGGGCCCGTGCTCCTGGCCATCCTCCGGGGTGTGTTCCTAAAAGCCACCCGTGACCTCAGGCTTACACCAGCTGGAAAAAAGAAAACAAGGAGAGCCGGCCCCATAGAAATCAGTTTTTTGGCAGTTCAAGCCCAGTATTTCAAAGGTCCGCCATTTTGCTGGTGCCTGTGTGAGCAGAGGCCTCACCCAAGATGAAGCCACACTCCCCACCTCCCCGGCCGTGTCCAGCCCACAGAGCTCCCCATCTCACACCTGCCGCCCCACTGGAGGGGCACGGGGCCCATGGAAGCCAGGGACGGGGCAGTCTTGGGTCTCCTGGTATCCTCAGCAGCCTTGCTGAGCGCATCTGAAACCCAGGGCCTCCTCATTTCCAAGGTCCCCACCCCCACGCCCCAGGGAGCTCTGGTGTCTCTGCTCTCTCCCCCCAGGGGAGGGCCTGCTTACTTAAATCCCCTGCTTCCCTAACCCCGAGTACTTGCACACTGCTGCCCACCGAAAAGAACGTGCTACTCAGTAATTCGCCTTTCCAGTTGTACAGAATTAATAAACCACGCTTTCTGAAGACGGGGGAGTCGGGCAGACTCATTCTAAACCATTACAGAACAGTGAAACCACAGGAGCCGGGCAGGTCTCAACTCCTGGCCCAGAGCCCACCACGGCCGGGTGCGGGACCCCTCCGGCCTTCGGACTTGCACGTTAAGGTCGTGGTGTGCACTGGCTTTGCACCTGCTGCCTAACGCCGGCTCCTCCGTCCGCCCGGTGCCCGGCACAAGGCCTCCCCATGCGACCCTGGCTGGCCAGCCCGAGGCCTCGGCTTCCTGGTGGGGACTACAGGGTGTAGCCCGGCTCGGAAGCATCTTCTGGTTATAGGGTGTGTGTGCATGTGTGTGTGCACTTGCGTGTGCGTGATCCCAATATCTTGAGGGTTATCACCAAAATCTTGTTGAGTTATGGAACACGTTTAAGGAACCTATGATTGGTGCGTGTGTGTGCACACGGGAGTGCGTGTGTGCACACACAGGAGCGCGTGCGTGCGTGCGTGCGCGCTTGTGCGCAGGTCCTGGGGTCAAGGCTTTCATGCTAGCTGAGGTAAGCGTGCAGTCGTTCCCGCCGGGCTGGCTTCGAATCGCGACCCCGGGTGGGGGTGAGGGTGGGGTGGGG